CTGTTTGCTGTCAATGGTGTGAATTCCAGCTCTGCTGCCTCCCCTGGGAGGCCACGGGCATGTTACTTACCCTCTTTCAAGCCTCAGCTCCCTCCTCTAAGAAGTGGAGATAATAGTATATCCAACTCATACAGTTGCTATGGGGATTTGGCAGGATATATGCGTAAAATTCTTACTCTGATTCCAGGTGCACAGTAAGCACTCAATACGTGGTAGCTATTTTTATGATTTTATTAGTAATTGATTATTTTTATTATTAGCTAAAGCAAGTCTTGCTCAAGAGAGCACCAAGAAAACAGTCTGATCCATCACTCCTGATAGAGGTGCAGGGAGGGGATCCCTGAAGGGCTGGGGATGTCCTGGGGTTAAGAAGAAGGAAAGTCAGAAAGCATCTCCCGGGGAAGATGCGGTGGTGGCTGGATGAGGGCTCATCCTGCTGGGGGTGCGATGACACAGCTTGTCGTCCCCCAGGCAGAGGCGACAGGAAAGTTCAGGGAGCTTTGCAGATACTAGTTTTTTTGTTTCTTTTGGGTTTTTTTTGTTTTACAAATTGAAGGTTTATGGCAACTCTGTGTCAAGCAAGTCTGTTGGCGCCACTTTTCCAGCAGCCTTTGCTCACTTTGTGTCTCTGTGTCACATTTTGGTAGTTCTCATAATACTTCAACTTTGCATTATTGTTATATTTATTATGGTGACCTATGACCAGTGATCTTTCATGTAACTACTGAAGACTCACTGAAAAAATGATGATTAGCATTTTTTAGCAATAAAACATTTTTTTCACTAAGGTATATACATTGTTTTTTCAGACATAATGCTATTGCATACTTAATAGACTACAGTGTGGTGTAAACACAACTTTTATACGCACTGGGGAACCAAAAAGTTCAGGTGACTCACTTCGCTGCAATATTCACTTTACTGCAGTGGCCTGGAACTGAATCCACAATATCTCCCAGGTATGCCTGTAATTTGAGGGGTGACCCTGGGCAGAGAGGAGGAAACCTGATTGTCAGGAAGTGCTGGAAAAGCCAAAGGACTAGAGCTAATGAAGGTGCAGACATAAAGCTACAGCCAGTGCTACCTGATTTCTCCAAGCTTTCTGTGTGGCCTCAAGTTCACACCCCCTTAGAAATGATCTGGTAAACAGAGAGCAAACTTGACCAAGGGCCAATGCCCATGACAGGGAAGATGCAGAGTATATTCACCGAGCTCAGTGTCCCTTTTCCCTGTGACTTAGGGCTGATTCTGAAGTGACTGTTGGCTGAGTCTGGATCCCTCTAATGGGCTAGGAGACAGCTTCTGAGTTCTGTCTTTCCAACAACAGAGGGCTGCTGGGTCAGGACCTGAGGACAGGGACGAGGCAGGGAAGGGCAGTGCAGGTAGAAGGGACAATGTGTGTGATGCTGGATGGGGAGAGAGCCTCACTCAGGGCCATTCTGGGGGCTTGAGAAGAGTGCGAAGTAGGGACAGCATGTGAGGTTGGCAAGGTCACCCTCATGTCGGGGCTCAGGTCATGCAAGGCCGTATAAGCCACGTGAAATACTTTGGCTTTTGTTCTGTGGTCAACAGGGACCCCAGACGGGATTTCAGCAGGGGAAATGCCCACTTACTTGTGTATCAGGGTGCTCTCCTGAACCCTCCCAGCCTGGAGAGAAGGTAACCTTCTCTTCATTCCAGGTGGACTCTGGGACAAGTCAAGATTGAGCTGAGAGGCACCTGTGTACAGAGGGCTCCAGGGAACAGGAAGAGGCTCCTGTAGGGCCATTAAGAAATGTCACAAACAAGCAGGCAGAGAGGTGCTGTGATAGCAGCATTCTGGTTCCATAGAAAGAGCAAACATCTGTAAAGGAATTCTGCCATGGGAGTGCACTAGCAGGGAGCAGCAAATCCCTTCTAGGCAGGTGGCCTCCCTGCACAACACCTTTTTCAGGACAGGCAGACAGCACCGCCCACACTTCACAAAGCAGGAAGCTGAGGCCCAGAGACATGTGCCCCCAAAACACACAACCAGTAAGTGACAAACCCACATCTGTCTAATCCCAGGTCCATCCTCTCCCCTGACATCACAGGCTTTTTACTGCCTGATTGTTTCAAGACCCAGACCACATGCACTGCCCCTGCTGCTCAGCCCTTGCATTTGCATCTTTTCGAGGTGATGTGTTAACAGTGACTGAGAAAGGGGCTCCAGCACCCCCAGAATGACAGACATGGAGCTTAGCATCATCAAAGAGAGAAGGACCACCCCATCCATCCCAAGAAGAGCTCTGACTGGTCCTGTTTGAGTCACGTGCTCCCTCCTGAACCAATCACAAGGAATCACAGTGCTCTGATTGGCCAGCTCCTTTTAGCAGGGTGGGCTGCCATGAGGAATGTTCTCCCATTCAGGACCACAGGTAGGTGTTTAACCCGGATTAGGGGGTCAGGGAATGCTTCCCAGAGGAAATAGCTTCCACACTGAGACCTGAAGGATGAGAAGGAGTGTTCCAGGCAAAGAGGCAGAGGAAAAGAAACTAGCAATGCAAAGGCCCGGGGACGCTCCAGGGCACGACTTGTACACAGCCATATCCCCCGTGCCTAGTGCACCCACAGCCTGCCTTCCCACGAGTGCTCAGAGAATGCTCCAGGAATAAAATCCACAACTGGCTGTGTGGCCTCAGACAAGTCAGCGGGCCTCTCTGAACTTCAGCTTCCTTCTCTATCTGGTGGTTTCATCTTCCTAACCTTCCAGGACAATGCAGGAATGCAGTTCATTTAGTGTCCAGATATTCATCAAGCACTTACTCAGTGCTCAGGTTGTACCAGGCCTGTGGACGATAAGGCCTGCTGTAGAAAAGCAAAGCATGCCTGGAGCTTATGCACAGGACCAGACCTGAAGCCAGAAATCAGAAGGGGTCCGGAGGGAGGGCAGGACAAAGGGAGAGGTTCATGGACAGTAGGCATGGAGGTGGGTTCTCCAGTCAGGTCCAAGTAGGGTAGTTTTCAGCAATTCAAGCCTTCCCACTTCCTACCCCCAACCCCATCTCCTACCTCCCCACCACCACCTCCACCTACCTTTTGGCTGAATACTGCCCTGGGGCCACCATCTCTGTGCCAGGGCCAGTCAAGCCAGCAAGCAGGGCAGCAAGATGTTTCTTCTTGTGCCTTTGCCTTACAATTTCATAACCTGCATAACAGGTTGAGATAATCCCAGAAGCAAAGAGAAAGGAAGCTGTTTGGGCTTTAGGTGGCTGCAGAGAGAATTCCTGCCCCTCCCTGTGTACCGGGCCCAGGTACCTTTCTCCCTCCTGCACCACATTCAACAGGCCAGCCCTGGACTCCAGCTCCAGAGCACCCACTGACTGCCAAGGTGAGCTGGCTGGGGACCCAGGACACCAGCGAACTCTACAAGGACTGAGTGGGCCATCAAACTGGGGGAGAGCCCTCGCCACCTTCCACCCCTCCCCACCCCCACCACTAAAGCCAGAATCCCTATTTGGCATGGATGTGACAGCTAGAGCCTAGCCCCCTGCCCAGGTATGCGCCCCTGCCCTCTGTCTCTGTTCTCTCTTCTCTCTGCCTGAATGTCTCTCTCTCTGAAGCTGGGTGTATGCCTGTTATGAGTATCCCCATAAATATCCATGTCGGTACATTGTCTGTCTGACCCTGTCCCTGTCCTTCCATCCTGTTCAGCCCCCAGGTCTCCTGGATTCTCCACATACAGGGACCCCAGAGAATGTCCTTTGAGCCTTATCCAGGGGCCTGGACTCCTAAACTGTAGGTCACACTCTAAGCACAATATATTTTTGTATCTGAAGGAAAAAAAAATAGTTGACAATTTGAATTTCAGGAATTTAAAGTTCTACAAAATCTCTGTGGGTGAGGCCAGGTGATAGCTTAGCTGTCTCACCTGGATGGTCCTGGAGGGATAGGGCCAGGGTGGGTGGGAGGGTTTTTGTCATTCTCAAAAGGAAATGTGGGTTTGCATTTGCTGTTGCTGTTGTGTAAACATCGAGCACTGACCCAGCCCAACCACCCCCAGGTGTTGTCCAGGTCTTCTGTCTCCTGCTTGGATCCTTGGCAGTTGAGCTTTGGACACAATGTCTGTTGAGATGGATTCTTAGGATAAAGAGGATTCTGGGGTAGGGAGGGGATAGGAAGAGTGGTGGGAGCAAGTCATTGCAGTCACCCTCCAGCTGGCTCTGAGTATTCCGAGATCTGGGAAAGTTACCCTCAGCTCTGCCCTCCCCTCCCCCGAGTCTCTAGAGACCTCCTTTCAACGCCATCAAATCACTGGTAACCCAGTAGCTGGGGGTGGCACAGGGGAGAAGTGGGACCAGTATGACCCTACCTCTGCCCAGAACTTAAGAAATTCAGTTTCAACACTTCTCTGAGACAAAAAGCACTAGCAGTGGGGCCGTATGGGGTTTGGGCAGCCAAGACCTGCACCCTTAGCTTACTCACCACTAAAGTGGGGGCCTGTGAGGATTAAAGGAGATAATGTATATACAGCACCCAGTGCGAGCTCACCTGTGCTACGTGAGTCCTTATTACTCTTAATTTTGGTCCATCAGCAAAGCTCACTTGAGTTTCTGCTCCCTAATGGTTTCACTGGGGCTAGCCAGCTCACTGTCTCTCTGCCGGCTGGAGGGACAGAATGATGGATGGATGCCTGGTTGGGTGGATGGATGGATGGATAAACAAGTAGAAGGATGGATGGATGGAGGGGAGGATGGATGGATGGAAGGATGGACAAATGGATTGACAGATGAGTGGATGAATGAATAAATCAATCCTCTAAGGGGCAGTGGCTGGCAGGCTTCATCTTCCTCTATTCCTAATCTCTGTGTTCAAAAAAGACATGTTGTATGAATGTAAAATTCCAGGGGCAAAAGGGGCCGAGAAAGCAAACTGAAAGGACTGTGATCCCCTCAGTTAGAGGTACCCGGCCCTCATCTGCAGTCTTGTTCACTTTCAGACACTAGACACTAGTTTCCAATTTTGTTTTCTTCTCTCCACAGGCTAACACTGAGCCCAAGCGTTCTTCGCCTGGACAAGATGAGAGTGTCAGGTAGGGCCAGGCTCTGATGATTCTAAGGCTCACGGTTGAGGTCTGAAACTGGTTTTGGAATCATTTTTCTGCCAGTAGTGTCTGCCCATCCTGGACTCAGAGGTCATTTGGCTTTATCCATTCTCAACTGGTCAGGCCAGAATTCCAGGAGGAAACCTATCCAGGGAGATCCTGGAAGAATGTAAGACCTGCCTCAAGCCTGATGGGCTGGAGAAACTTTGGCACAATGGCCCGGCCCCACCTGACTGGGATTATGGGAATTGACCCTATCTTAGAAACACTTCATCTTGCTTGGAAATGGGACAAAATATTTGCCTCCAGGAGGGCTATTCTAGAATCCTCAAACCACAGAACTGGGCGCTGTGAGGATGAATTGAGATAACATATGTAAGTGCTGTCCGCACGGTACCCGACACACAGTGAGTGCTGTGTCATGTGAGCTGATGCCCAAGAACCACGCTGTGCCCTGGAAGATGGGGGACCCCACAGGTTCTGGGGGGCCTTGTTCCTGACCTCAGATAGCTAGAGACCAGCACAAGCCCACAGCTGAATTCAGGGCTGAGGAGCAGGGTGAGCAGAGAGAGAGAGGTCAGGCAAGGAGCAAGGGAACTTGGCCTGTTGGTTGGATTTGATTCCCAAGGTAGTAGGGCCTCGGGGTGGGAGGGGTAGTGCCGCCCACTTCCGCCCTCATGGAAGAGTGAGGGAAGGGCGCGGGACAGGGGGCTCTAGGGGGGTCTGTCACGGGGTGGGGTCGCCCCCCAGTGATGCGTGAGGGGAGTGGGGAGCAATCTGGCTGCGAGGTCGTGTGTGTTCCTGCAGAGCACTTATTGTGCTTATTTGTGGTGGCTTTCCCACCCCCGAGCCATCCTGGAGGCTGTCTAGTGTTGACGACTGAAACAACCTTCCCGACAAGCCATGGGCCAGTGCCAAGGGCATTACTGTGTCCTCTCGGTGACTGAAGGACTCCAGCTCAGAGGGGCCAAGCCCCTGTCTGAAGTCACACGGCAGCAGCTGGCTGCCCTGACCTTCCTGCCTCCAGTGCCAGGGCTCACCTGCCCCCTGCTCTCCTGCTGCACTCCTCAGGCCTCCCTTGGGCTGCTGGATAAGAGTGCAGATTCCCAGGCGTCGCCCCTAGAGATTCTCCCTGGAGGGCTAAGTGGGAGCCCAGGAGGGTGCATTTCTGACTTCACCTCCCAGTGGCCCCACTTGGGGAATGTCGCCCTGTAAGCCTGCAGCAGGATCTCACCATTTGCCCATCACGTGGATTCATACTGGTCTCGCCATGCAGGCCACGGTCCACAGTGTGGGCTTGGTCTGGACCTACACCGTGAGGTCTCAGGACGTGGTCTCCCTGAGGGGACTGGGGAAGGACTCACACGTAGTCTTGCTGTATGGCCCCGCAGTGTGTTCTGGTGCTGTGGTCTCATGGCAGCATCTCCTTGCTCGGCAGGTCTGCTGCGCCTCCTGTCCCTCATCTCTGTCCTGGTCGTCACCTGGTTCTTTGTCCGCAGCTATATCAGCTCCAACATGATAAACGTCCGCCTGCCCCGCTGGATAGGTGAGTGGGGCTCCCTACTGGGGAAAGGCCTAAGGACCAGGGCTAGGGGCCAAGGATCTATCCCTTCCTCCTTCCCTGGGTGACCCAGGAGATGCCAACCATGGTGGGGTGGGGCCTGCCTTTGGGATCCCAGGGGAGAGAGGAAACCCTCAGGCTGTCGGGAAGATGGGGAGCCCATGGGGAGCAGAGAAGTGTTCCAAGGCCCTGGCCAGAACATGTGCCTGAATCCAGGGCCATTTTGGAAATGCAACCCAGAAGGAAGGACAGAGAGAAGAAGAAAAAGGAAGGAGGGAGGGAGAAAACTGCCTTAGTGCCTTCCACCTGCACTTGCTGTTCCCTTGGCTTGAAACCCTCTTCACATCAACCTCTCTGTGGCCAGGTCCTTTTTCAGCCTTCAGTCCTCTGCTCAAATGTTACCTCCTCAGAGAGGCCTTCCCTGAGCACCCCAGCTATATATACCTGCATTTGCTCCTCCTACTACAGCCACTCTCACATCAGCCTGTTTCCTTCAGAGCATCATC